CACCTTATAGTGGACCTCAAAATGATCATACTTTAGGTTTGAATATCTTTCTTTTTGTTGATGAATAGAAAAATAAAACAAATTTTATATATCTTATCTATTAAATAGGAAGCACTCAAGGTCAATATCTTTTCTTGAATTCATTATTCACAGCACAACAGACAACAGTTGCCGTTATTCAAAGTGAACTGTTTGAACCAACATCACGTGCTGGTCGTTGTATAACATTTTGGTATGTTATGCGTGGTAGTCAATTAGGTCGTGTTGATCTTAATATTACAACTACACAAGGAACAAATATGATATGGTCATTTGGTACTGTTGATCAAGGTGAATCATGGCATTTTGCTTCAGTTGGTTACTATTCAGATGTTGCACATTTTGTAATATAAATTTTTAAATTATTATCATAGAATTTAAAATGTTTTTTTTTCAAAATAGATTGTTGTCGAAGGAACTGTTACTGCACAAATGCAAGGTTATTATGCAATTGATGATATTGATATTCGTGATAGTTATTGTGGAACAAATCCAACAAATGCAGCTGTAACTATTTTAACAACACCTGCAACTGTAACTCGACCAACAACAGCATTTCAAAGTTAGTATTATTTAAAATAAAATAATATAAAATTTAAAAATCTTTCTTTTATAGTTCCAAGTATTTATGATTGTACATTTGAAACTGATTTTTGTTCATGGACACATCTTTCTGATGCTAAACTTAACTGGACTCGAAATCAAGGTTCTACTGGAACATTTGAAACTGGTCCTCTATTTGATGTAACAACACATACAGGTAATTTATATAAACAAATTTACAATAGTTATTAAAATCATCTACTATCTATCTTCAGACAAAGGCTGGTATATTTATCTTGAAACATCTTATCCAGTAGAATTAAATGATACAGCAAGATTAAAATCACCATCGATTGCTGGTTCAACAACAAAATGTTTTGAATTTTGGTATCACATGAATGGACCTGATATAAATCGTTTAGATGTATTAACTATCGATTCATCAAATGTCGAAACAACTGTCTGGTCACGTGAAGGTTCACAAGGAAATGTTTGGCGTTTAGGAAAAGTTAAATTAAATGATATTACTGATGAATATAGTGTATGTAAAAAATTACTTTTAATTTCAAAATTCTATCAAAAATTGTTTAATTTATTTAGATTATTCTTCAAGGTGTTGCTGGTAGTAGTTTTCAAGGTGATATTGCATTAGACAATCTTCAATTAATTGATGGCAATTGTCCAAGTGATTACCCATTAGAATGTGATTTTGATGATGAAGGTATATGTGGTTTTACACATGATATAACTGCACAACATCGATGGATTAGAAATAAAGGTACGAAAAAAAAAATAAAAGACAAACTTTTTGAAAATAAAACAAATATTTTAGGTTCAACACCTAGTACATTGAGCGGACCAACTGTCGATCATACTACAATGACTAGTAGTGGTAAGAAGAAAACTTTGAAAAAATTATCTTTTATTCTTATTGAAAATTTAGGATATTACATGTATTTTCCAAGTGCTAATACAGCTCGTGCAGGTGAAAAAGCTCGATTAATATCTCCATGGATGAATAATACAGATGGACAATGTCTTTCATTTTGGTATCATAGTTATGGTGTTGATGTTGGTGCATTAACAGTTTATAAACGCTTACAATCATCAGATGATTTATATCCAATGTGGAAAATTAATTATAATTTTGGTGATGTATGGAATGCAGCAGAGATAACAATACGAAACACGGATGAACCATGGGCTATTGAATTTGAAGGTGAATATGGTATTGGATATTTTGGTGATTTAGCTCTTGATGATATCGTTATTAAAAATGGTGCATGTCAACCAATCGGTTCATGTTCATTTGAATCAATTGATTTCTGTACTTGGCATAATGTTCGTCCACCAGCAGATGACTTTGATTGGCTTGTTGCACATGGTGAAACAGATTCAGCATTTACTGGACCAACAGTTGATCATACATTTAATGATCAATTTGGTTATTATGCATTCATTGAGGCATCACATCCACGACAAAATAATGATCGTGCTGTTCTTGAATCAACTGTACTTATGCCAACATCAACAATTGGTTATTGTTTTTCATTTTGGTATCATATGTACGGAGAAATTGGTACATTGAATGTTTTTATTCAAAGTGTTAAAGCAAAAGAACCATTATGGATTTGGTAAGAAAAATTTAATAAAGAAAATTTTTATATATTTAATTATCATATACATATTAATAGGACACAAAGCGGAAATAAAGGTGATGAATGGTTAAATGGTCAAGTTACTATTCGTTCAAGTTTATATTATCGATTACAAATTGAAGGAGTCATTGGTAAGATAAAAATCAAATTATTTTTCTTAATATTCAATATATTTTTTATTTAATATCTATTTAGGTACATCATTTCAAGGTGATGCAGCTATTGATGATCTTCGTGTTTTTGAAAATCCATGTACATTAACACCATCAAATGCTGATCCATCATTACTTCCACCAAGTACAACAACAACAACAGCAGCAACTGTAACAGTTGCACCAGGCCCATATGATTGTACATTTGAAAATGATGTATGTACTGGTTGGGAAAATATGGCAAATAATCGATTTAATTGGGCACGAGTACAAGGTTCAGCTGTACCAGCACCAGGTATATTATATTTTTTATCATATTTTCTCCAGTTTAAACATTTATCTTACTCTTTAGAAATCGATCATACAACAGGTACTCGAGAAGGTTATTTCATGCAAGCTGTTTTAAATCAACGTCCAGCAAATGATTATGCTCGTTTGAAGAGTCCTCTACTTAATGATGTACAATGTATGACATTCTATTATCATATATATGGACATGGTGGTACTCTCAATCTTTATATGGCTTTGGGTGATAATTTAGGTATACAATTATGGACACGTAAAGGTTCACAAGGAGATGTATGGCGTTTTGGACGACTGTCAACAAATAAAAATAATGCCAATGTTGTTTTTGAAGGTAATTAATATAAATGAGAAAAAAAAATAATCAAAATTCATTTATCATTTTTTCTTTTTAAAGCTATTGCTGATGCAAATGCTATTGGTGATGTATCTATTGATGATGTTAGATTTTCACCTGGTGCATGTAAAGAAAGTGCTGCTATTGGCGAATCCTGTACATTTACTGATTATACTCAATGTGGTTTTACACAAAATACTACTGGTTCATCTTTACAATGGCAAACATTTGGTGGTGGTGATAGTCAATTACGTACAACAGCAATTCCATTTGATCATACAACTGGTACAAATCGTGGTTCATATATATATATTGATTTTGAGAATCGTGGTGAAAATCTTAGAGGACATCTTTATTCACCAGTATATGAATCAACAAAGAATCAATCATATTGTGTCGAATTTTATTATGTACTTACTGGTGCAAATATAACACTCAATGTATCAACTGAAAGTAGTACTGGAACACAACGAAACATATTTACACGAAATTATGATCATGGATTAACATGGATTAAAGGTGAAGCAACAATAACTATAACTAGTCAATTTCGAATTATTTTCGAAGCAATAAGTGGTAACTTTCGACAAGGTACTATATTGTTAATGATATTTATGTATATGAGTATATATTTTTCTCGTTTTATATAGGTTTTATCGCACTTGATGATTATCAATATCATTCTGGTGAATGTAGTTTTCGTTCAAATGAATGTACATTCGATGATGGTTCATTATGTTCATGGACAAATGCAGCAGATAATCAATTTGATTGGCTTGTTCATAAAGGACAAACATTAACGTATGCCACTGGACCAAATGGAGATCATAGTATGTTGAATAATTTAAATAAATTCATTTAAAATAAAAATAAATGTTCTATTTTAGCATCTGGAAATGGTTATTATATATATATTGAAACATCTTCACCGGCTCAACCAGGATGGAAAGCTCGATTAGAATCCGAAATTTTTGTTGATAATCGTCCAAGATGTTTTTCATTTTGGTATCATATGTAAGTTTATTTTGAATATATATTAATCGATCTTATTTAATTCGTTTTAATTAGGTTTGGAGATGATATTGGGCGTTTAAATATTTATTTACGTTCATTAGAAGTAAATAATTTTACTACTGACTCATTAGTATGGGTATTAGCTGGACCTCAATCAAATAGTTGGAGACATGCTCTAGCACCTATTCAACCAAATGGTCGATATCAAATTATTATTGAAGGTATCTGTGGAAAAAGTTTTGAAGGTGATATTGCTGTTGATGACATTGGAGTTTTGTCAGTCGAAACATGTCAATTACAACCAGTTGATGCTGATCCAATTCAAGTATCTCAACAAGCAATAGCTTGTGGATTTGAACAAAACTTTTGTCAATGGCAACATGATACAACTGGAAAATTTAATTGGACTAGACATACAGAAAGTACACCATCGACAGATACTGGTCCAACTTCAGGTAACAAAATTTTCGAAAAATTTGAAAATCTTAAACTTTTTCTCTTGTAATTTTGTAGGTGCAGATAATTCACCATATTATATCTATATTGAATCAAGTTATCCACAAAATGAAGGTGATCGTGCTGGTATCATTTCACCAGTAATAACAAAACCAAGATCATCTATGTGCTTTCAATTCTATTTTCATATGTAAATAACTAAAACAATAGATTTAAATAAATATTATATTGTAATTCTTTTCTTATAGGTGGGGTGCAACTATTGGTTCATTACAAATATCAGCTATGCTAAATACACCTACTGGTCAACAAAAAATGTTACTTTGGGAACGTAATGAAACACAAGCAAAAGAATGGCGTCAAGGACATATTAATTTACGTGATATTCCATATGATTTTGCAATGAAAATTGATGGTTTTGTTGGAAATGGATTTGAAGGAGATGTAAATTGATACAATTTCTAATTTTTCTAGTTATATTTATTTCTATTGAAAATTTTTAGATTGCAGTTGATGAATTATTTTTACTTGATGGTGAATGTCCACCTTCGATTTGGTGCGATTTTGAAACATCTTTTTGTGGATGGTCAAATGATACAACTGGTGATTTTTACTGGACACGTACACAAAAAGCAACAGATTCAATTGGTACTGGACCAACAACAGGTGAATAATGCAATGAAATTTTTTTAAAAATAATTTTATTTTCAATATTTTAATAGATCATACCACTGGAACTGATCGTGGTTATTATCTTTATATTGAAACATCTTCACCTACAAAAACTGGTGACAAAGCACGAATTGTCAGTCCAACATATTCTCCATCATCATCGGTATGTTTGAAATTTTTCTATCATATGTACGGACCATCAATTGGTACATTAAATGTTATTATGGCTACTACAAAACAATTATTATGGACAAAGAGGTATAAAAAAAAATAAAAATTCTTTATATTCAAATCTTGTATAAATTTCTTGTATAGTGGTAATCTTGGTAATCGATGGCGTTATGGACATGTAACTGTACGTAGTAATAGTCCATATCAAGTAGCATTTGAAGGAGTTGTCGGTTCAAGTTTTCAAGTAAAATAAAAAAACAATTTTGTTTTGAAAATTTCAATATATAAATAATGAATTTAATTTAGGGTGACATTGCTATTGATGATATTCTTATAGCAAATGGAGCATGTGAAGAAGAAGGAAGTTGTAATTTTGAAGATGGAACATTTTGTGGATTTTACAATCCAAGAGAAGAAGATGATTTTGATTGGACACTTAATCAAGGTGAAACATTTTCAGATGACACTGGGTAAAGAAAATTTTAGATTTAATATATATATATAATACATTTCTCTTCTAGACCAAATGTTGATCATACAACAGGAACAGGTGCTGGTTATTATGCTTATATTGAATCATCATATCCGCAACTACTCGGACATAAAGCATGGTTAGTTAGTGAAATTATTGAATCACCAAAAGGTGCTTGTCTTGATTTTTGGTATCATATGAAAGGACAAACAACGGGTAACATGACAGTCTTTTATCGAGTCTTAGATAAAGCTCCAGCTTCATTATGGTTTCAAGAAGTAATTATATCATAGTTTGAATTAAATAAATATGAAAGTAAATTAAATTTTTTTCTATTCAGGGTGATCAAGGTGATCGTTGGATAAATGCTAAAGTTGATATACCAGTAACAAATGATCATTATGATTTCATTTTTCAAGGTGTTGTGGTATGTAAACTAGTATTTTCTTTTTCGATAAACCTAAAATATTATTTATAGGGTGATGGTCATCAATCGGATATAGCACTTGATGATGTTAGTTTAGGACAAGGTGGTAATTGTGCTTTTCTTGCATCAACAACTCAAGCACCTGTAACACAACCATCAGCTGCATTTGAATGGGATTTTGAAGATGGCACATTAGGTGATTGGCAACAAGAAGAACAAGCACCATGGGTAGTTGCAAGTGGTCAAACAGCTGTATATGGTAAAGCACCATTAGCTGATCATACAAGACAAAATGTTCTTGGAAAATATGCTTATGTACCAATTGACGCAACTGGTGGTCCAATTTATTATTCTACAATTGGTATTCGTTCAATACCAAGAGGTGTTCCATATTGTCTTGATTTTTGGTATCAAGCATTTATTTCCAGTGATACAGTACTTAATGTTTATATGCAAAATGGAACAGCAGAACATACTAATATTTGGCGTCGACCTGGAACAACAGCACGTGATCAATGGACACATTCATCAGTTAATCTTGGAGTAAATCATGGTACAGCACATTTAAGTATTTCAGGTAAAGAAATGAAATTTTCGTTTATATTTTTTATTTAATACAAATTTTATAGCTGCTGTTGTACCTCGTTCAACTGGTTATGTTGCTATCGATGATGTAAGAATACTTAATGGTGCTTGTCCATCTGCACGTGTCTGCGATTTCGAAGATGATTCAATATGTGGTTATCAAAATGATGCTACAGCTGATTTTACATGGTCAAGACATAAAGGTTCAACTTCATCATCAACAACTGGCGCTACAAATGGTATGTTTCGAAGAAAATAAAACATTGTTTTATATTTATATAAAATATTTCATTTAGATCATACGTATGGAACTAATTTTGGTTATTATATGTATATTGAAACAAGTGCTCCACAAAAAACAGGTGATAAAGCTCGTCTTATTTCTCCTGAATATGATGTTGCAGCTGGTGGTTCATGTTTACAATTTTTCTATCATATGTGGGGTGACAGTACTGGTGCATTTAATGTTTACCTTAAAGTTGGTGCAAATTTTGAAGCTCGTCCATTATGGGCACTTAGTGGCGATCAAGGTGATTTCTGGCGACCAGCTCGTGCAACAATACAAACATCAGGAAAATTTCAAGTAAATAAAAAACTAATTTCAAACTTAAACTTAAACTAATGATTTCTTTAGGTCGTATTCGAAGGTGTAGTTGGTCCAAGTTTTACTGGTGATATCTCATTAGATGATATTACAATATCACCAGGTGCATGTCCTGCATCAGGTTCATGTACATTCGAACAAGATCTATGTACTTGGACACCATCATCTAGACCAAATGATTTCGATTGGTATCGTTTATCATCAAAACAAATTAGTTTACTTTATAATGGTACAGATTATCCATTAACTGATACAACAGTAAACAATGCTTATGGACATTTTCTTTGGGCTGCATCCGATTTTCGAGCAAATCGTATTAATCAAACATCACATCTTTATTCAGAAATTCTTTTAGCTTATCAACATCAAAATGGTGCATGTTTAACATTCAGTTCTTTTCTAACTGGTTCAACAAAATTAAATGTTTATATACGTCCACGACCAGCTGGTCAAAATTCTACATTATTATGGTCATCGAATGAGGATGATAATCATGACGTGTGGTTTCAACAACAAATCGAAATATCAATTATTGCTAATGATTTCGAAGTAAAGAAGAAAAAAATATATATTATATTTATTTATATAATCATTTGTTTTCTTTATTAAGATCTATTTTGAAGGAAAATTTGAAGCACCTGGAACTCACGGTTCAATTGGGTTAGATGATATACATATACATTCAACAGCATGTTCAGAAATTGATACAACACCATCACCCTCAATTCCATTTAATTGTGGTGATGGAACTACAGTACCTCAATCATTAGTTTGGTAATTAATAATGTCAAAAAAACAAAATTGAAATATTCTTTTCTGTTTTATTTTAGTAATTTTATTACTGATTGCCCCAACGGTCGCGATGAACAAAATTGTGCTGATTGTACATTTGAACAAGGTACATGTCAATGGTTAGATCTTAGTACTGGTCCTTTCGCATGGGCGCGTGATCAAGGTGTAAACGTTGCACCATCACATCTCGGTCCAGTTACTGATCGTAAGTTTTAAAACTGTTTTTTTTTATTTCAATCAAAAGTTCTTCGTTATAATTTTCTTTTATTTAGATACAACTCATACAGGTCGAGGATATTATATGTATGTAAAATCAAATGATGGCTTTTTCTGGGATGATGCTATATTAGAACTACAACAAGTTCTTCAACCAAGTTCATCGGGATGTACATTAGAATTTTGGCATCATATGATCGATCATCAATATCTTAGTGTTCATTTAATTGAAGGTACAGAGACAGTAGAAATCTGGGAAGAAGATCATGGACATGCTGGTGATCAATGGGATCGTATTATTTTACCACTTGGACGTATTGCACGACCATGGCGTATACAATTTAAAGCAGAAAAAAGTTGGGGTGATGGTACAGTTGCTATTGATGATATAAGTTTAAGTGGTTGTCAATTTCCACCCGTACGACCTAATTGCACAGATGATCAATTTCGATGTACACGAGGTGCTTGTATAGCAAAAGAACGTGTTTGTGATTTTAGGTAATTTATTATTTTTTTAAGAAAAAATTGAAAAAAAGAAATATTTATTTTATTTTTCCTAGTGATGATTGTGGTGATAATTCAGATGAAATAAATTGTCAAAATTATATTATGTGTAGTTTTGAAGAACCAACAGGAATGTGTAATTGGGCACAAGATGATGATGATGAACTTGATTGGGAACTTGGGCAAGGTGAAACATCATCATTTTTTACAGGACCTAAACGTGATCATACACTCGGTTTATCAAGTGGTCATTTTATCTTTTTGGAAGCATCATATCCAGCTGAAGAAGGTGAACGAGCTCGTATCGCATCACCTGTTTTAAATAGTACAGGATTCTCATGTGAACTTAGATTTTATTGGCATATGTATGGAGACGTAAGTGTTAAAAATCAACTTTAGATAATATATATGTCAATGTGATAATTTTTCTCTTTAAATAGAATATTGGTGCACTTAATGTTTATACTCGAACAACTTTTGGTGGAGAAATGGATAAAATCTGGTCGAAGGATTATAATGTTGGTGATTTCTGGAATCGAGCTGAAATCGTATTGATGGAAAATGAACCATTTCAAGTTGTTCTAGAAGCTGTTGTTGGCGATGGCTATGGTGGAGATATAGCTATTGATGATACATCATTTACACCAGCTTGTGGTTTATCAAATGTTAATTTAGTTACTGTTTCAACACCTAAACCAACTACATCAGCACCAAATCCTTGCGCAGCTAATGGTCAATTTATGTGTATTGAAAATGGTCAATGTATTGATAAGGCGAAAGTTTGTGATTTTAAAGTTGATTGTCCAACACCTGGAGGTAGTGATGAAGCTGAATGTGGTACATGTACATTTGATAATAATAATGGAACATTATGTGGTTGGAAAGATTACTCAATTGGAAGTGTCACATGGGAGTTACGAAAAGGATCAACGGATTTTGGACCATCAGGTGATCATACAACAGGCAGTGGATTTTATATTGCTATGCCACCACACTATTCATTTTCATCAATTCGTACAGGTGCTATTGGTCCTACTGCTGTTGAATGTCAAATGAGATTTTGGTACTATATGGAGTATGAAGGTCCAGATGCTAACAGCAGAATTATAGCATACTATAGAACAGAATCGAGCAATTTTAGTTCATTCTATTCGATTGATCGAGTTACTGAACCAACTGGACCAAACTGGAAACAAGGTGTTATCGCTATTGGAGCTCGATCACAACGAATTGCTATAGGTATATAGAAGAAATTTTATTAAAATAAAAACAAACAAATGCTGTAAAATGTTCTTTCTTTTTTTAGAAATCGATGGACATTCAACTGAAAAAAATGCTGTAGCTATTGATGATATAGAATTTCATAATTGTCACGTAGGAGATCCACCTGAACTTGGGTACGAAAATTTTTTCTATCAAAATATGATTATTCCTATTATTTTATTTTTAGTTTACCCGTCGATTGTACATTTGAACATGGTTGGTGTAACTTTTTCCATGATGAAAGAGCTGACTTTGAATGGGAACGCACAAATGAAGCATCAACATCATCAGATACAGGACCAGGATTTGGTATGAAATAAAATATATAATAAATTCTTTTTTATAATATCTATATTATAGATCACACAACTGGATCAGGTTATTATGTATTTATTGAAGCATCTTTTCCAAGGTAAACATTAATAAATATTCATGTATGTATTTTAATATTAATTTGTTTTTAAAAGAGTACAAAATGATCGTGCAAGAATTTTCTCTGGATACCAAAATCCATCAGCTACTCCTCGATGTTTATCATTTTGGTAAAATAAAAAATTATTTTACATATATCCTGTAAATATAATGTTTTATTTTTTGTGTATAGGTACCATATGTACGGTGCAGATATTGGTACATTAAATGTATATGTACAAACTTTACCAACGAATCAAGCTAATATTTCATCAACACTTGTATGGACTAAAACTGGTACACAAGGTAATGCATGGCGACGTGGACAACAATCTTTACATGATTTAAATACAACTAATATGTATGGTTGGCGTGTTGCATTTGAAGGTGTTGTTGGAAGGGGTTATTTGGGTGATATTTCACTTGATGATATATTTCTTAGTCAAGCAGAATGTCCAGCTAGTCGTACTTGTGATTTTGAACTTAATCTATGCGATTTTCAACCAGATCCTGGTAATAGTTGGGTACGACAACAAGCTACTAATTTAGCAAATTTTGTTAATGAAGATCATACATCATCAACATCTCTAGGACATTTTGCTATGGCTCAAACTAATTCAAAGTAAAATTAAAAATCAAATAAATCTTTTTTGATTAATATTTATTTTCTATTAAATAGACTTCGAAGTCGACAATATCCAAATGCTGGTGATGAATGTTTAAGATTCTGGTATTTTGTCAATGGACCAGATGGATCTACAGGTCAAATAAGTGTTGCAAAACAAACTAGTGGTTCAGCAACTGAAACTGCACTTTGGTCAAATAATATTTATGAAAATGGATGGCGTTATGGACAAGTTTCTATTAGTGGTGATCGTAGCCCATTCACTTACTTATTTCAAGCAGTAAAATCTTCTCAAGATGTTGTTATTGGTATCGATGATGTTATTTTAACTCTTGGCTTTTGTAAACCACCAATAAACTGTGATTTTGAAGCCATTGATCTATGTAGTTGGACACAAATGAAAAATGATGATTTTGATTGGTTATTACAAACAGGTGCAACAGAATCATTTGGTACTGGACCAACTCTTGGTAAGAATTTCATATAAAATATATATATACGATATACATAAGTAAAAATTTGTCAATTTGGTTTTAGATCATACAACAAATTCTGCTCAAGGACATTATATTTTTATTGAAACATCACATCCTGCTAAACAAAATGATACAGCTCGAATTATCAGTGAACATTTACTAACTGGACAAGGTTGTTTTTCACTTTGGTATCATATGCATGGTGAAGATATTGGTTCATTAGTTATTTATCAAAATACAAAATCTACTCCAATGACTCAAATAAATAAAATTGATGGTGAACAAGGTGATCAATGGAAACAATTACACACTGATCTTTCAGTACCTTTACAAAATAACGAATGGGTACGAATTATAGTTGAAGGTGTTGTCGGACCAGGTTTTCAAGGTAAAATTAAACGACAAACTTATTTTCCTCTATAAATCATATTTTTTATAGGTGATATTTCTATCGATGATATTACTTGGTCACCTAGTGTTACATGTTCAGCAGAACAATCATCAACAACAACATCAACTACACCTGGTGTACCAATAACTTATCGTAAGTAATCATAGTTTCTAAATATAAAACAGAAGAAGATGATTTTCATTTAAATAGCACCAAGTATATATGATTGTAATTTTGAATGTAATTGTACATGTCAATGGAAACATGATGATACATTACCATTTAAATGGATTGTTAGAATGGGTTCAACATCAAGTTTTGATACTGGACCTGACTCTGATCATACAACAGGATCAAGATTCGGTCATTTTATATATATTGAAGCAAGTGCGCCAGCTAAACTGAATGATACAGCACGTTTGATCAGTCCTGATGTAGTTGCTACAAATGAAGAACAATGTTTTCGATTTTATTATCATATGTTTGGTACAGATACTTATCGTCTAAATATTTACGCACGAATCAGTATGTTTAATAATAATTAGCAAAAATTTTATTTCTTAATTTTTCTATTTAAGATGGTAACCTCGGCAAAGCTCTATGGCAAAAAGAAGGCAATCAAGTAAATCAATAGTCTATAATTCATTTTCATATATTTTATATATTTTTTGTTTCTTAGGGTAATCAATGGTTATTTGGTCGTATAGCATTACGTGGTAATGTTGAACAAGCTGTCGGTCAACCATATCAATTAGTTTTGGAAGGTATTGTTGGTAAAGGTTATCTCGGTGATATCAGTATTGATGATGTTGCTCTCAATCAAGGACCATGTCCAACATCAAGTAAAATCTAATATATTTATAGATATAGTTTTTGTTTAAATATAATATTTTTTTTCTAGCTGTCTGTGATTTTGAAAGTAGTGATTTATGTGGTTATGTTAATGATCCATCAAATACAATCGATTGGGCACGTTATCAAGCTGGCGTTGATCCATCTATACCAGCTGTTGATGTCAGTTATGGTTCAACTCATGGACATTTTATGTTCATAAGACGAAATGATACAGTAGTACAATCATCAAATGGTCGTCTAGTATCAGAAGGTTATCCAGCTACAGGTGGTTCATGTATACGATGGTATATGTTATTACAAAATAAAGCAACATTACGTGTTCGAACATTAGCATTGGGTGGTTTGAATCCAACTATTCTTCACACTGTTCATGGTTCTCAAGGTCCTGCATGGAAATTTGCTCAAATAACTGTGCGAAGTGGTTCACCATATCAAGTTGTATTTGAAGGTGTATTAAATAATACAAATGATATCTTAGATTCAATCGCTCTTGATGATGTTAGTGTACAATCAGGTGTTTGTGATGACTTAGGTGCATGTGATTTTGAAAAAGGTTTATGTGGTTATCAAAATCAAATAGCTGATTTTAATTGGAAACGAACATCTTATAATATTGAATTATATAATGCACCACAATTTGATCATACAGTAAATACTCAAGCAGGTTAGAACATATTAATAGAATTTCTTTTCTAGAAATATATATATCTTTTTAATTCAGGATTTTATCTATGGATGGATCGTCGACAAACAATTGCAGGTAGAAAATGTCGAATTGAATCAGAACTTATTCCAGTTGATATACGTTGTATAACATTTTGGTATTATATGAACGTTACAGTTGGTGCTAAATTAAATGTTTATATACGTGATCCACGTTCAGATACTTATAATTTACTTTGGTCAAAAGATCAAGTTCATGGATCATTCTGGGTCTCACAAGATGTACAAGTTCGACCAAATATGACAGTCAATGGAACAAATACATTTACTATTGTTTTTGAAGGTGTTGTCGGAGCAATATCTGGTGGTATGTATAAGAAAATATTAAAAAAAGAACAAAAACATATTTATTATTTATTATTTTAGATTTGGCTATCGATGATATAAGTCAAAAAGTAGGAAACTGTCTAACAACAACACCACCTCCAAATATGTATAGATGTCTTGATGGTACAACTATTCCAAAAGCAAAAGTAAATTCTATTTAAATAGAAAATAAATATCGAGTAATTTTAATTATTTCTTTTTACTTAGGTCTGTGATTTTATTGTTGATTGTAAAGGTGGTGATGATGAACGTCTGTGCGGTAATTGTACATTTGATGCAACATCAAATCCATTATGTGGTTGGAGTGATGTTAGTAAAGGTACAATCATGTGGAAACGCGGTTCAAATGAAACATTAGTAGGAGCAGGTCAAGGACCACCATTTGATCATACATCATATAAACCTGAAGGAAATTACGTTTATCTAACACCAAGTAATGGAACAACTCCAGGTGCACCAGCACGTTTTATAACACCTGTTCTTCGTGAAGCAAGTACAACATGTCTTCTGGAATTTTGGGTTTATCTAACAGGTACTTCGTTGAATCAATTAACTGTTATGTTATTAACTGGTAATCAAATTGAACGAGCAACATTACAACGATTTGAATATAAATCTATGACAAATTGGACAAAAGTAAATATTGAAATAGGTCGTGTTGATACACCATTTCAAATAGCAATGGATTCGAAACGTACTTCATCATTCGGATGGGTTGCATTTGATGATACAAAATTACTTCATTGTCATTTACCACCTATTGTTCTTGCAACTCAATGTCAAGCAGCTGACCGATTTCATTGTGCACGTGGTTCATGTATAGCCAAAGCTCGTATTTGTGATATGACAGATGATTGTGGTGATCATTCTGATGAAACAAGTCGTTTGTGTTCAACATATCAAACATGTACATTTGATACTTCATTCTGTGATTGGACACATGATAATACAACTCAATTTAAATGGGAATTATTTACAGGTCCATCACCATCAGATGATACAGGAGTATGTGATATTCATATTTTCGTTTTTACTAATTAAAAAATTCCTATTGTTTTTTTCTTCTTCTAGCCAAATCGTGATCATACAACTGGTTATGCAACAGGTGGATATGCTCTTATTGAAGCATCCTATCCACAAGTACCAGGACATAAAGCACGTTTAATTAGTCGACCATTTGAACCAAAAACAAATCAATGTAATATGGTGTTCTACTATCATATGTTTGGTGCAGATGTTGGTGAATTGAATGTTTATGTACGATTTTATTCTAATGGTCCACTTGTTAAGATTTATGGTATATCAGGTAAATGAAACTTAATTAGTTATATCTTTATAGATTATCATAATTCTCATATTTTTAACGTTTAGGTGATCGTGGTAACGTATGGCTTCGACATGAATTAAAATTAAATTATACAACTCCATTCCAAGTATTAATTGAAGGTGTTGTAGGAGGAAGTTTCTTAAGTGATATTGGCCTGGATGATACAGTGTTTTCACCTGCATGTGAAGGTTATTCACAATCTCAATTACCTATAACAACAATCACATCAACAGTAGCACCAACACCATGCCCGGGACCAGATCAAGTTCATTGTGCTGGAACTAGTTTATGTATCGATAAAGATAGAGTATATAATTATTTTAAAATTTAACATATGATATACATTTCTATTTTATTAGATCTGTGATTTTACTGCTGATTGTCCTGATGCATCCGATGAAGTATGGAAAAGATTCTTTCTTATATATTTAAACTTATTTTCTTTTTATATAGGATGGTTGTGGTCCATGTAATTTCGAAAAAGGTTAGTTTATATAACATAAACTCAATATATCTATATATAATTTGATTTTCTTCTAATAGATAATTGTGGTTGGGAAGATGTCTCATGGAGTTTTTATTCATGGTCTCGTGTACAAGCAAGTGATGCTATAACAACTTCACAAAAAGCACCTCCTTATGATCATACATATAATAATCCATCAGGATGGTATATGCATGTTGCTGGTGATATGGGTGATTTTTATGATCTTGCTGAATTACGTAGTCCATCTTTACCTCCATCAAGTGCTGAATGTCAAATTACATTTTATTATTGGCTTGTTGGTAATAGTACTGGTACACTTGAATTATTTTCTTCAACTGCTAGTCAAGCACTTTGGTCTAAATCGAGTGCACCAGCCAATCGTTGGAATCGAGCTACAGTTAATGTTGGAGCTAATCGAGTTGGATGGAAATTATTTTTTGAACTTGAACCAAATCTTGAATCTTTTGGCGTTTTTACTGATGATGTTGCTATTGACGATATCTCATTTTCTCAATGTAGTGTCAATCGATCACGACATATACTTGAATGTGATTTTGAAACAGATTTATGTTTATGGGAAACAAAAGGTTTAGCTGATTTCGAATGGACACGAGGATCATCACAAACATCATCACTTGCAACTGGTCCACCCGGTGATCATACAACAGGCAAAGGATATTATGTCTATATTGAAGCTAGTATACCACAAAAAGAAGGCGATCGAGCTCGGCTTCAAAGTCCATTAGTACCAGCAACAACATCAAGCTGTCTTATTTTCTATTATCATATGTAAGTTTTTATTATTATTTTAGTTATAAAATATTCTTTTGAATAAAATAAAATAGGTTCGGAGCTGATATTGGTACATTAAATGTTATGATACAAACATCTGCTTCTAATTCAACAATATATACACGTAGTGGACCACATGGAAATGTATGGCAAAAAGGAGAAGTAGATTATCGAAGTACACTTTCATATAAAATCATATTCGAAGGCATTGGTAAGTTGAAATAATGATTAATTAAAACGAATGAATTTCATTGTTCGTTTTTGTCTTATTTAATTTTAGTTGGAAAGAGTTGGGAAGGTGATATAGCACTTGATGATATCGATGTTAGTCTTGGCAATTGTCCAATATCAAATGAATGTAATTTTGAACATGGTTTATGTGCAGGTTGGGAACATGATCCTGAAGGTGATTTTAATTGGACTCGTTCTCGAAATGGTTCAACACCAACTGGTACACCTACTATTGGTTCGTATTTATTTAATTTTTATAAGAAAAAAAATACTTATTTGATAAAAATTTAGATCATACACTCGGTTCGGCTTTTGGACATTTTCTATATATTGATCCAACTGGTCGTTTAACAGGTGATACAGCTCTTATTATGTCACCAAGTTATAAAGGTAGTCAACCAAGATGTTTACGTTTATGGTATCATCTTTTTGGAGCTGCACAAGGTACACTACAAATTCAACAACAACCTGAAATTGGTCGACCAAAAACTATATGGACTAGAACAAATGATCAAGGTAATAATTCAATGTTTTCTTCTTCTTCTTCTAAATATAATTTTTATGTTGTATTAGATAATATTTGGCGTCAAGTACGTGTTAATATTCCACCATTACTTGGCATGAGTACATATAAAATTCTTATTGCTGGTATCGTTGGCTCAAAACCAACTGGAGGTAAGAAAGATCTTTCTTTTGTTATTTTTCAAATTGATAATTTTCTATTATTCATTATTAGATTTGGCAATTGATGATTTATCAAATACTGAAGGAGAATGTCCTGGCTCAGAAGTTTGTACATTTCAAGATGATTTTTGTACTTGGGTTAACGGACCAAATAATATTGTCGATGATTTTGATTGGTTACGAAATGCAGGTGGTACACCAAGTTATGGAACAGGCCCAAGCGTTGATCATACATTTGGAACAGCCGAAGGAATGTATATATATATTGAAGCGAGTGATACATTCAATAAAAATGCAAAAGCATGGCTTATGTCTGAACATTATGAACCTGGTCCACATTGTTTAGTATTTTATTATCATCTTTATGGAGAAGATATTGGTACATTAAATGTATATTCACGTATTGGAAATAATAACCTACAACTTCAATGGAGGTAAATAGACTTACTTTTATAATTTACTTATTAAAATCTTACATCGCTATTTTTATATTTATAGTTTAAGTGGTGATCATGGTGATGCATGGCGAATGGGAGCAGTGAATGTTAATATACCAACAGAATTTTATTTTATTATTGAAGGTAAAAGCAAAAATAAAAACAAAAATTCTTAATTTAAAATATGATTTGTTTTCATTTAAAGGTCTTCATGGCGGAAGTTTTCAAGGTGATATGGCTCTTGATGATATACTGGTTCTAACAGGTTCACAATGTACAATTCCAACAACAACTACAACAGCTGTACCAACAACTACAGTTGGTCGACATACACCATTATCATGTAATTTCGAAAATGATACATGTAGATGGACAGATGATTCAACAGCATCAGGTAAATGGTCAAGACATCAAGGTCAACAAAATGATTTTCATACTGGTCCTCATTATGGTAAAAAGAGAAGAAATGAAAAACAAATATTTATTTATTTATCTATTTTTTATTATCTAGATCATACATTACAAACAGCAGATGGTTGGTACATTGATACATCAGATATGAAGAGTAATCAAACAGCACGTTTAATGAGTACAATGACATCAATACCAACTCGTGGTATATGCTTCCGATTTTGGTATCGTGCTTATGGTTCAAAACAAGGAAAATTAAATCTTTTACAAAAAGCTGCAAATGGAGTCAATTCAACTTTAATTTATAGTGTACGTCCAAATCTTGATATTGATTGGCGTGAAGTTATGGTTTATCGTGAAACATTCGGCAATTATCAATTTATTCTTGAAGCTATTGTTGGTAATGTAATTGCAGATTCAGATAATATTGCTGTCGATGATATAACATCAAGTGAAGGTATATTAAATCAATCTAAAATGAAAAAAAACAGTATTTTAATATATACAATTATTTTTGTTTTTTTCCATAGGTCCATGTCCAATGCAACGATTCTGTGATTTTGAATCATCAGATATATGTGGTTATACAGATGATCCATCAGGTACTTTTAATTGGACTCGTAATCGAGGCACAACAGGTAGTTGGTATACTGGTCCACCATATGATCATACAACATATACATCAGAAGGTATTGAAATTTAAAAAAATTAGCAAATGAATGAAAGTTTTATTAATAATACTTGTTTTACTGTTAGGTTATTACATGTATGTTGAAACAAGTCTTCCACGTAAACCAGGAGATGTTGCTCGTTTAATCAGTCCAACATATCCAGCATCAAAAGAATACAATTGTTTACAATTTTATTACCATCAATTAGGTGCTGATGTTGATAGATTGAATGTTTATAAACGTGATGTAGGTGGTTCATTAACACCAACAAAAATCTTTACCGCAATAGGAGATCGTTTTGATGAATGGCATGTTATGGAAATCAATATTGTACCAGCAAGACCATTTAATATCATCTTTGAAGGTGTCGTTGGAAAGAGTTTTGAAGGAGTAAGTCTATTATTTCTTTTTGTTTATCTTTAAGTGAGATATAAAAATCTAAATTTCTTTTCTATAGGATATTGCTCTTGACGACGTTTTTCTTAAAGAACGTGCTTGTCCACCAATAGGAAGTTGTGATTTTGAACAAGGTATGTGTACGTATAAAAATTCTGAAAAAGATCGTGAAATGGATTGGCTAAGAATGCGTGGTGATCCAGGTGATAATACAATTGGAACAATCTATGGAACATATCTTGCATTTGATATGACATCAACAACAGTACCATCTAATCGTGCTTTACTTGTATCAGCTGATCTAGATAATACAGCACAATATTGTTTTCAATATTATTATAGACGTCATGGTGATGGTCAAGGTACATTAACAATCAATCGACAATCATTTGCTAATTTAACATCACGTATTGTATTGAAAAAACATGAAAGTACTGATTTTACAAATGAATGGAAAGTTAATCAAATCTCACTGACTCCATTATTAAATCAAACAACAAGTGTTTATCGTTTATTATTTGAAGCTATTAGTGTCAGTGGTGTTGGTCGTTTAATGCTCGATGATTTTGAATTAATTCACGGAGCATGTCCAGCATTACCAAACAATTGTTCAATTCAATGTGATACACTAACTGGTACAAAACAATGTATACCAACAAGTCAAATATGTGATTTTAATAAAGATTGTATAAATAATGATGATGAACGTGCATGTGGTTATGATTGTACTTTTGAACGTGATCAATGCAATTATACTGATCCATCTGCAGGTTTATATAAATGGCGACGACAACGTGCTGGCCTTTTGGTTGCTGGTACAACATCTAGTCCAGGAATTGATCATACAACATTATCAGCAAATGGTTATTATATGATTGTTTCAACAAATAATGGTACAATTGATGAACAAGCACATTTACTTTCACCAACAGTTCAATCATCATCATCAACATGTGAAATGACATTTTATTATCATATGTCAGGAGTAAATGTTGGTCGTCTAGAAGTTTTACTTCTTGAAGGTTTAGAAAGAAGTCGTTTATGGTCAATTGAAGGTAATCAAGGTGATCGATGGCATAAATCTGTTGTTAAAATTGGACGTTTATATCGTCCATTCCGAGTTCGTTTTGATGCACGAAAAACAGCAACAACATTAGCTGATATAACAATAGATGATATCGAATGGAATGGTTGTAATTTACCATTACTCAGTAATGAAACAACAACATGTGAAAGCAATCAATTTCAATGTAAACGCGGTGGTTGTATTGATCAAAATCGTGTATGTGATTATACAGATGATTGTGGTGATAAGTCTGATGAAGATCAAACACTTTGCACAAGACCTAATGTTATACCTGGGTAAATGATCTCATATATATATATTTAAATATTTTATTTTTATTTTTTATGTTATTTTAGTTGTAATTTCGAAACAGATTTATGTAAATTTACTAATGAATATGGTACAGCACTTCAATTTGAACGTGGACATGCTTTTACATTAGTTAATGACTATGCTCCTGAACGAGATCATACATTAAATAATATAGCTGGTTCATTTGTTTATGTTAATACAATTGATCAACCATCGGAACGTGCAGCAAGATTAAGATCATCAAGATTGATTCCAACAGATGGTTGTAAAGTACGATTTTATTATTATATGAATAGTGCAACAACTGCTGGCGAACTATCATTGTATATTCGAAACCAATCGGCAGGATTACAAACATATCTCTGGTCATCATCAAAAGTACTTGGTCATCATTGGGAAAGACAAGAAGTATTAATACCAACAGGATCAATACCAACAGGATCTTTAATTGAATTACTTATCGAAGTTAAAAGTTCAGGTGTTGGTGGTGGTGGTTTTATAGCATTAGATGATATATCATTTTCATCACAATGTAATAATTCAAATGGTTATCTACCATACGGAACAACACCTAAACCGATTGGAACATCAACACGTCCATCATGTCCATATCAATGTAAAGATGGAACTTGTATAGCACAAGACAAGGTAAAAATCTTTTACTGAATCATGAATAGAAAAAATGTACAAGTTTTTTTTAAAATGTATTTATAGCGTTGTAACTTTATACCGGATTGTTCACAAGGTGAAGATGAAGTTGATTGTGGACAATGTGATTTTGAAACATCAGCATGTGGTTGGCAAGATGAAAGTACAGGATATTATATGTGGGCAAGACGTAATGCATCATCTGTTTCACTTATGCCTGGTGATTTGACAACAAGTATATTTATTTTAATAAAAAAATTTGATGTTTATTTTCTATTAATATACATATAATTTAGATAAAACAAGTGGTTTTGTAATGACTGTTGCTGGAGGTTCAGGATCATTTGCTGGTAGTAGTCGTCTAGTTTCTCAACGTATTGCATCAGCATCAGGTGCATGTCATGTTCAGTTTGGTTTATATCGTTATCGTGATACAGAAGGTACATTATCATTATATCATGAAGATGATTCGAAATATACAACAAGACTTTGGACTGATCCAAAAACAGTCGGTCGAAATTGGACTATGGTAACAGTTAGTATTGGACGAAGACGTGTTGGTTTTCGACTTGTTTTTATTTCAACACATCAAGGATCAACAATATCATCAGATATCTCAATTGATGATTTTAAATTTGTTGATTGTGATATACATACAGTTGGTCATTGTGAAGGTTTTAGTGATCCATTTAATTGTTCAAATGGAAATTGTATTCATCGAGATAATGTAAATTTTTGTTTTATTTATTTCATAGAAAAATATTTATTTTATTTTTATTTTTAGTTATGTGATTTTAATGATGATTGTGGTGATAATAGTGATGAAACTGTTTGTGACAATTATGTTGAAATGTGTGATTTTGAAAATCATGCTGAACCACTTTGTTCATGGACACATGATAGTGATGCAGACTTTCAATGGCAACGTATCCGTGGTGAACAAAGTAACACTATAGATTTTTGGTATGATGATTGGCAATTCTATGGGCCTGATCGTGATCACACTTTAGGTAAAAAGAAAGATTTCTTTTTCTTTTTTGATTAATAGAAGAATAATAAAGAAAATACTAATATTATCTATTTATATAAATCTAGGAACACCCAAAGGACATCTTCTATTTCTTGAAACAAGTGCACCTCGTAAACCAAATGATACAGCACGTGTTATTAGTCCAGTATTTGCTGCAACAACTAATGGTGAATGTCAATTTAGATTCTGGTATCATATGTATGGTTATGACATTGGAGAATTAAATATATATACACGTATTTTTACTGGTGGTCCATTACAACTAGTTTATAAACAAAATGGGTCAAGAGGTGATGAATGGCTTCGTCGTAAAGTTGTACTTAATGTTGCACAACCATTTCAAGTCGTTATTGAAGGTGTACGTGGTAGAGGTTATGAAGGTATTTTCTTAATAACAAAACAAATTTTCTTCTTTATTTGAAACTATTTTTATTTATTTATAGGTGATATTGGTGTCGATGATACAAGTTTTACACCAGGTTGTAAATTACAAACAACTGCAACATTACCACCATTTGTATATTCTACAACACAAAGTCCATATTGTAATGCTACACATTCACATTGTTTTCAAAATACTCGTGAATGTATACCAAAAGATCAATTCTGTAATTTTAATATTGAATGTACAGATCAAACAGATGAATTATCATGTCCATCAACATGTACTTTTGAACAGAAATCATTATGTAATTGGAAAAATGATAATAAACAAAAACTTAATTGGGATTTTGGTAGTGGTCATACTTCATCAACAAATACAGGTCCTAGTACAGGTAAAAATTCTTTTTATTTTCAATACAAACAAAAAAAGAAATCTATTATTCTTTATATTATTTTTGAATAGATCATACAACACATAGTGTTAATGGTACATATATATATTTGGAAACAAGTACAGGTTTTACTGGTGATAAAGCTCGTCTTATCAGTCCAATCTATCGTAAATCATCGAAAACTTGCATGTTTACATTCTGGTAAAATTTCATTATTTACATATATATGTTTAGAATTATCATTTTTTGTATCCTTTAGGTATCATATGTATGGTGATACAATTGATACATTAAATATTCATGTACTTGCTGGTGGTATTGATACTTTAATATGGTCATTAAAAGGAAATCAAGGCAATGAATGGTTACAAGGAATAGCTTATTTACCAACATGTGCATCAGAATTCAATATTATTGTTGAAGGTATACGTGGTTCATCATTTACTGGTGATATAGCTTTAGATGATTTCCGTTTTGATAAATGTTATGAAAACGTTCCTCCACCAACATGCGCACAAGCAGTATCAGATCCAAATCAATTTATGTGTCAAAGCAAACATTGTATACCAAAAACAAGTACATGTGATTATGAATTAGATTGTTGTGATGGTAGTGATGAAGATGAATTATTATGTTATACATATCAACGGTAAGAAAAACAAAAAACAATATAATTTACTTCTATGAAATAAATAATTCTTATTTTAATTATTAGATGTGATTTTGAAGCCGGCTCTTGTTCATGGGAAAATTCAAGTGGTAGTGAATTAATGTGGGAAAGATATCGTGCTAATGCACTATCATTTCAACATCGACCACCATATGATCATACAACACGAAGTCTTCTCGTATGTTTAGAAAAAAAAAATATTTTGTTTTGTTTTTATTAATGATATATAAATTGTTTTTTTCAAGGGACATTTCTATATGTTACGTACAAATGCAACAGTTCCAAAAGATACATTCGGAGCCATATCAACATATCTAGCACCAACAGCAGAACGAGGATGTACAATGCGTTTCTGGATATATTTTAAGGGTACTAATAATGGCGAATTAGTAGTTGGTTATCGATATGCTATTGGAGATACTATCATTCCTTTATTAATTACTGATTATCAATCATGTTCTACAAATGCAACAGTATGTTCATGGCAACGTATTAATGTTTTAATAGATTCAGTTTTAACACAACCAACAGAAGTAAAACTAAAGATAATTTTTTCTTTTTTAATTAATTACTTTTCAATTTAATTAGATTATTATTGGTGCAAGAACTGGCGCTGATCGTGATGCAATCATGGCATTAGATGATATTACATTTACACCACAATGTGTTAAATTTAATGGAACAATACCAACAAGACCCCCAACAACACCGACAACACCCTATACAGGTACTCCAACAACATCAACTACAACAACTACGACACCATATACAGGTACTCCAACAACGTCAACTACAACTACTACGACACCAACCACAACTACATCTTACAGAGGTAAAAAATTTCTTTTTCAATGAAAAAAATCATTTATTTTCTATTCAATATCTAGAATGTGCACAATATATTTGTTATAATAATGGTATTTGTAAACCATCACCAACAGAAGTTGGTAAACCAATTTGCGAGTAAGTTTAATAGATAGTTTGTTTGTTTGTTTCTTATTTATTGATAAATATTTGTTTCATAGATGTCAACCTGGTTATACTGGTGCCCAATGTGAAACTAAAGAACCACAAAAGAAGAGTCATTGTAAATAAAAATAAATTATATCAAAAAATATATTTTAAATTTATATTTAAATTTCTAGTGGGTGGTATTTTGGGTGGTATATTTGGCGCACTTGCAGTTATTGCTTTGATTATAGTTGGATATATCTTTGTCTTACCAAAAATACGTGCTGCCAGGTTTGAATAGAATATTTTCTATGTAGATTAAAATAATCTCTAATATTTATTTTGTAGAAGTGGTGAAGCAAGTGCATTATTACGTGAATCATTACCAATTGGTCCAATTACCAATCCTGCTTACAGTGAAACTGCAGCAAGCAGTGATGCATAAACGAACATTCAAATCTTTTTATTTTTATTAATTACAATATGAAAAACTCTTTTTTTATCGAAAATATATAATTTGTAAAACTCTATTTCTTATTAATAAATTGAATCAAAAATATATCAAATATTTTTATTGAACAAAGAAAGTTACTTGAGCAAAAAAAACCAACATGTGAATAGAATTCTTTAATATATGATATTCTATATCGAAGTATTATCAGTAAAGTTCTACGATATATATAATAAAATAAAACATACTAGTTTAATATGTTCTATAGATTCAAATGTCAATCGATAAACATTTTTCTTTGTACTAAATGTCAAAGATACTTAGTCAATACAAAATGACAATCGATAAAATGTCTGTTAATGTATATGTATATATAACAATTTTAAATGCTTCTGATTTTTCTTATCTAAATATTCAATGCATTAGAAGCCTAAGAATGTAAAAATAACTTGCAAGAGCTTTTAATGGTTAAATAATATAATGATTATGTCGATGATGATGCCTAAGAAATTGTGTATAATTAGTCACCAGAAATCGATCAAGTCGGTGTGGTCTAGTGGTTAGGATAAAGCACTCTAAATGCTCTGGCCCGGGTTCAAATCCCGGCACCGATAAGTTTTTTATTATGAAAATATTCGTTGAATTTCATGAACTGTCTATGAAATTTCGTAATATTCTATATTCTCTTTTTTTCTTAGTAAAAGAGAAAGAATATATTGTTCTTACATAAGTTTTTTTGTCGTTCTTTCATCGCCATAATGAAACGTCAGTAGTTTATTCTGTATACAATTTCAAAATTTCATTTCTATTGATAAATAAGTAGCTAAATACGAATAAATTATTATTAACATTCAATAAACTTTTATAAATCATTCATTTATCAAAATTTCTATCTAACAAAATAAACCTATAAATCAATATTTTGTGAGTTTTATCACTGTCATTAAATAAAACAGTCTATTCATTATATGTATATGTATATCTTAATAGCAAAAATGTCTTTTTCGACCTTCATATCTAAGCCATTATATCATGTAAAAATAAATAAGACGATGTCATGCTCAATTATGAGTTGATATGAAGGCTAACAAATCGCCTATAAACAATATTTTTATTAACACAAGACAGACCTTTTTTTTGTAGCCATTGACTAGAATATTTTTTTTCCTATGATAATGCATAGAGATATTTTTTAAAACATTTAGATTTAATCTTAATAAAATATGCTTTCTATTTACGATTGAAAAATGATTATGTCTCGTTTCTTTTTTTGTCTTGTGATCTACACAACCCTAGACAGGAAGCGGTTTACTTAAGATAGTTTAAAATTAAAATTAAATCCTACTTTTCTTCTTTTTTGCTTTATAAAATCTATGAATAGAATTGATCTTTAATATATTCAATTTTATTCTCTTAATTAATATTCAATGAGATATATGAATGCATGAGAAATATAATTAATTATCACGTAAATATATAATGTGACGTTTTTTTAATCGAGAAAATTCTTAAATATATATATTTTTTCTATTTTTGTTCAGGTCATTGATAATACTATTTTTATTCTAAATGTATAATTATCTCGGAGTTCTTCTACAGCTGCAAAGCGAATGTCTAAAAATAACATAATTCACAGTTAATGAAACAGCAATCTAATATTTATTCTTTTCTCTTTCTTTTATGACCTTCATCCAATTCTGGCAAGTATTCGAACATTGACATTTAGTAATCATCGAAAGTTTATATTTATTAAGTATATGTCTTTTCCTCAGTTCATCAAGTATGATTTTCTTATTTCTTTCGTTTATCTATTTCTCTGTATATATATAAGGCAATGTACGATGACAATCAAATTCTGTTAAAAAGTCCCACCCATGTTGATGCGTGCCCGCCTTTAGGCGATAAGAGAGGAGGAAAGTATATGTTTGTGCAACACTGCCTTTGTCACATCACATCTGATCGGCTATCCATCTATTTAACTATCTTTCTGGTAAGAGTGTTGTATGCATCATGTGCATGGCAATTAATGCGTCGATCTGTAAACAACATCGAACATTTCTCTTCATTTTTTTTTGTCTATTCTATCAATTGCATACAGCGACACTTATTGATGCCAATATAGATATATATCTAGATAAGAGATCAAGTGTCTGCATGTGTTTGGCTGTTTCGCTTCTTTGCTCACGATATGTACATTGCATAATTGCCTGAAAGAAATCTATGTATATTAGAAAAGTTGTCATTATAGAAATTTATATAACAATTTTTACCATTAATATAAAGACTATTGATCTTCTTCTTCTCTTTTATTTATCTGATAGGAAATATTAAAAAGGAAAAAAGTTGATGATTAGTGTTAGATCTTTTAATGTATGCGTATTATATGTGCCTACGTGCGCCTTTTTTATCTTGTAAACAAATGATGACGACGTGTGATTACTTGCTAATCAAACTTTTCTTCGCTTTCTAAGACAAGATAACTATAGCAAGGCCAATATGTATTCTGTCACCGCCATGATCAACACCATCATCATCATCAACATCATCATTGAGATTGAATCAATCTGGAATATATTGTTTGATTTTCTTTTCTCTTATTTTAGAATATATAAAAAAATAAGTTTATTAAACGTTTCGTTTTTTTTGGAATCGAAGAAATTAAATGTAGATGGTTTTTTTTCGCTGCTAAATTTCCCTACCAAGTTCATATAATCATATTTCTTTCTATATAAACATATAGATAAACTACATTGCTGACATAGTTTTTTTTTGTTTAATATATCTATGTATATATAAGATAAGACAGTTATTATCTTTTCTGTTTGTGATTATTAAAATGCAAGGAAATCCGATGAGATCTATATCTTTAACTTGTTGAAATATGTCGCTAGTACCTTCTTTTTTCTCATAATTAGACTAATTATACAGTCTAGGACATATGTTTATTAAGACGAAATTTGTGATATACAAGTGTTAATATATTGCTCAACAAAAAGAAAACTAAGTTATATAAAGTCAATGTTATATAAAATTCATTTTCATCAGTAGAGTTTATTTAATAACATTAGTTTGATGAGTTTTTCTCTATCTTCACAAAAGGAAGGTAATATATCAAGTGGTTCAGTCATCATGCAATATATACATATACATATATATATATATGTTTGTATATCTTTTCCTGTCATCTATTTCTGTGATACTTCAAAAAAAAAGAACAAATTGTTTATTACATAATTCCATTTTAGCTTGTCAGCTCATTTGTCTTCCGGTAAAAATGTGTTTTGAACACGTGCAGACACATCTTTAAGTAGAAATAGAACTCAAATAAAAAATATAAGAATTATAACATACATTATTTTTTCTTATTTGCTCATGCTTATATTATTTTTTTTTATATAAAATAAATTAGTAGCATCTCTCAAGCTAAGACAACAATTCTTAATGGCCTCTCTCATTGCGTTTTTTTTCTCTCTCTTTACCTCTCTTGACATATAGTATAGAAGATCCACCTTGAATAGATGAGATAAAACACAAGATAAACCGATAGTTGTCACACAAGGGATACGTGCATTGCTTGCGCCGGATATAGTCATAGCAATCTCCTCTTCTTTCTTCTTTTCAATGTATGTGCGTTTGTCAATCAAATCCCTTTGGTCAAAGCAAAGCAAAAAGAAATAGAGAGAAAGAGACAGAGAAAAAGAAAAGTAGGGGTCATCCATTTCAATGAATGCGCGTATATATATGTATGTATGCATTCCATATATTCTTTTTCTATTCAGACACTCGTATTTGCGATACTAATGATGTTCAACTCAATATGAATGATTACATCATTGTCATATCGTTACTAATATTTTTAAAATGTGAATCTCATCATCATCGTCGTCGTCATCATTAAACAAATCTTGAGATATAATACTTGAACTATTGACGGATTGATGTCTATTATTAGTTATCGTTTGTGGTCCACTTCTTTTCTTTCTTTACATATTACTTTTTCAATTTATGCGACATTTGGTGTGTGCATATGTATGTATGCCTTATGTAAATTTACTTTATATATGCGCTTGCCTTATTTACCACCAACATTGTCACTCAGGCTGCTGCTACTTGCCGCAGCTTGTTTTTGTCGTTCGCTCGTTCGCTTCGGCATCTATTACATTGCATTGCGAAGTGTTAGGAGTATGTCAAGAACGGAAAGGTAACACGAGCATGGCTTTCTTTCTTTCTTCTCCTCTTCTTCTTCTCCTTCTCCTTCTTCTTCTTCTTGTTCTCTCTCGCACTTTTCTTTTTACTCTACCTAACATGTTGCCTCGTTTGCATCGAACCAATTCAATGATAAGTTTCGAAAGTAACTAATACGACAATACTATTACCATTAGAGCAAGGACATTAGTACTCTGTTGGTGATTGCCGGTCGATCGTTAACTCTCTCTCTGTATGTGAGTGTGTATGTCTCTCTCTCCCTCTCTCTCTCTCTTTTTCTGTCTCCCTTTCTGCTCAATTGTTCATTCAATTTCCCATTACGAGTCGTTCATCGTCTTCTCTCATCGGTTAGAAGAGGGTTGATCTAGACCAACCTCTTTTACTTCATCGATTAAAATGTGAGTCGCAGTTTATATATCTGACATACCAATAAGTTGAACCCTAACGAATGAGTTTAAATGAAGATAAAGACATATTGAGATGAATCGAGCAAATATATATTCAAGTTATCTTTCGTTTTTTGACAGTATGAGCTGCTTTTCTTTCTCTTAATACATTGCACTCAGTCATGCACAGTACATATACATATATATATATATATGTATATAAATACATATATATGTATATCGACACCCTCTGTGTATATGGATTTATTGGCAGGAGACCAAGTACGTATAAATATGTTTGTTCGGTCGATTCTCTTACTTATTATCTTTTTTTCCTCTTTTTTTTTGTACGTACAGTATACAATCTGTCAAATAGCAAGTTGTACTATACATATATATCTACGATGCATATACACTGTTTTATGCTTCAAAAAAAAAAAGAAGTTCTGAAGAACGAGCAAAAGATTGTTCGATAATCTATCACTTCTTCCTTTCTTTTCTCTATTGGCTTATTGCCAACTAACACAAATATGTATATTGATTGCAGTCATTTTCCGAACTAGAATAATATGAGATGCTGAGTGTGTATATGTATATATGTATGTATGTATGCATCTGATTTGTTTCTGTTCTTTTCTTTTCT